ACCTTATTGCTCTCTACAACTGCCCCAGAGGAGGTTGCAGGGAGGGGGAAGTTGGTTGCTTCTCCCAAGTAACAGGCAATAGGACAAGAGGAAATGGCCTCAAAGACCAGGAGAGGTTTAGATTGGATATTAGGGAAAATTTCTTCACCGAAAGAGTCATCAAGCATTGGAACAGGCTGCTCAGGGAAGTGGTTGAGTCACCGTCCCTGGAGGTATTTGAAAGACATGTGGATGAGGTACTTAGGAACATGGTTTAGTGGTGGACTTGGCAGTGTTAGGTTAATGGTTGGACCTGATGATCAGAAAGGTCTTGTTCAACCAAAACAATTCTATGATTCATCATGTTCTCAATTTCTTATGTAACTTCTTCCACTGTCACTTCAATTTTGGGCAGCTCCTTTGATGTCCTCCCCTTTTACCTTCCTAAGGGACGTTCCAGTTCAGGAATCTCCCCAGCTTGTCCCACTTGTAAGCAGCGATGTAAAGAATTAATTCCATTTTTCTGCAGTACCCTTATCTTCCTTGAGTGCCCTGTTTATCACCTGAAGAGCAATGGATGCAGCATACTTTCTGGTGTGCTTCTTGATCCCGTTTTATTTGAAGAAAATTTTACCATTAGTTTTTATTCCTTCTGCTAGTTGCTACTTGAACCATATTTTGCCCTGCCTTCTTGTGGTTTATACATTAGATTTGTCAGAATTTACGCTTTTTTGTGCTTTCATTTGAGACATGACTTCAGCTTTTTGAAAGAAGCCTTCTTTTTTTCTAATAACCTCCCTCACCTTTCCTTTCTTCTGCTCCCTTGAAGTCTTTTTTAACAAGTGGGGTACCTTGGCCTTGTGCTTCCAATGTAATGTTCTTAAACAACTTCTGTGCTTTTGTAAAGACTGAATTCTCTTGGCTACCCCTTTTTGCTGCTTTGACAGAAGTTTTCACTGTCATGTATTTCCTGTGTTAGAAGTTATGCACAAATGTGGTCAGCTTTGCTGAACTTTGTTGTCCTGGAGGACTGCTGGCTCCTAGGTGAGATGATTCATTAGCATACCTGAAGCTCTTCAGGCTTTTCAACTGTACGGTGTATGCTAATTAAGACTGTGTAAAGAATTATGTCTCCTTGTGAGGGCTTCCTAACCAGCTGCTGTATGAGATTGTCTCTGGTAAGTTTTTAGACATTTGGTGACTATGATTTTTCTCTTGGGGCTTTTACCCAGTGTGCCTGGGATAACTGAAGTGCACCATTACTATTGTAATACTTGTTGGTGCTGCCTCGGCCACTTCCACAGCTTCCTGCCTAAGAGGTGGGAGACATGGGCTGAGGGGGGATCAGGATAAACTTCTGAGCAGCACTACAAGTGCAGAAATGATGCAAAGTTCTCCTTTTCTGTGGTCTTTTCAGTGACTGAAGTTAAAATTGCTTGACTGTGACTTCTGCAGGGACATGGCTTGTCACAGTCCTGCCTCTTCACTCTCCCCCAGGTCCATTTAGAACCAGCAGCTATTCAAGTCCTTCATTTCCATTAATTGCAAGGCTGCAGTTCCCTGCTGTCACTGCTAATGAACTCTGATGGAGGCAGAGTTTCTAATCTAGACAGATGCTTTCCATTCTGTGTGATTCTTGTAAATACAGCAGTACTACAGCCGCAGAGAATAAATCATGTGGAAGATAAATCAAGGGATGAGGGCCGAGTGGGCTACCTTTTTCTGTGCTTTGAGGAAGAAATGCTGCATCTTTGGAGTGAGACAGCTGATAGTTTTGGAGGAGCAGGTGGCATGTAACATGAGGTACTCCTGGTAAATGTCTTGTGTTGTTCCTCCTGGCTACCATTTCTCACAAATTCCAAGTCCAGTAAGAGGCTCCCCACAAAGGAATTCTTTTGAATACATGCAAAATGAGTAGCATATAAGCAGAGTGGCATTCAGGTGCCTCATGTATGTAGCCATAGTTGCTGTCTTTCATCAAGCTGTGCTGTATCATTGCCTCCAGATACCCATCTGAGAGCAGAGGTGAGAATGAATTAGACTTCTTGCATTTTTATTCTTAGATTTTTCTAAGAACTACTGCTTTCATGCTTAGAAGAGGAAAAAAGGAGTTAGAAAATCCAGGGTCTTTCAGAATACCTAAATAATACACAGAAAGATTTTTCAAAAGTCACTTGGGTACCCACAGGTACAGATAGGCATCTGTGGGGATTTTCAGAATAGAAAAAGCTCTGGGTTCAAGTTACTGACAATCAAAGATTGATGTGTCTGTAAAACTCTGGCATGCACTTAACATTTTGCTACAGTTCCTGAATCAAGACTTTTGACTTGTTGATTCTAATTTCATTGATTTCCAGTGAGGTTTAAGTTTCCAAGCATCAAAGCCCCGTTTGAAAATGGCATTTAGGTTCTTGAGTTAATGAGGATCTTTGAGAAGCTTAACTTCGGTTCTTAACATGTACTAATTCAAACACATCCGTTTACTGTTTGGTGTCCATTTACTGTTCTGCTTTGTGGTTTGCAAAGTGGAGGTAAATGATGGCAGTTCACGGCCTTTGTGCAACAAAATATTTAGAGTAGTAATGATAAATGCTTACAAGCTGTAAATTCTGAAAAGTTTCAGATGTTCCCAAGTGTTTAGTGTGGTTCATGTCTCATGAAGTTTTTCCACAGTTAGAAACCACGTTTTGTTTTTCCTAAAACCCACACTTGCATTATTGCATTCAAAAGGGAAAAACTTTGCATAGGACTTTGATTTCTTTTAGAAGAAATATTTTATGTGTTGCATTTCCATGCTTTATTAGATTTTGAAAATAAGTGTAATGTCCATTGGGCATGTGATTGCGATCTGCCGAAAACCTCCTGTGCTTTAATGTAAGCAGATGGTACAGTTATTCCAGAATCAAGGTCTTTATTGATCAAAGGTGGCTTCAGACCAGTTTTCACCCAGAATTTCTTTGCACAGCAGAATTAATATGTTGTATTTTAGTATGGATTCCTCTTAGCAACAGTAGAGTGTCAGTGGCTCTAATGAGTTTTTATGATTTATGCTGGGACAATTGAGATTATAATCCTCAATCCCCTGCACCTTCCAGCCTGAGGTTATTGCACTGTTGAAACTGTGTTCACAGCTTGTCATGCACCAATAATGAAAATCTCCATCCGTTCGGGTTTACTCTGATGCATTTGACTGGGCTGCCTTAAGGTCCTCTTTGGATTTTGCAGTGGTGACTAGAGAGGAAACTGTCTTCAGAACAGAGGCTGATAGGACTGAGCAACAGCCAAATCCACCCTAAAAGGATTGGGAATCAAAGATAAAAATTAAAGACCAAATCATCAGCAGATGTAAATTAATGTAGCTCTATGAAGTTTCCATTTAGACATATCAACTTATATCAGCTGAAATACTGATGTGCAGCAGATGAAAGGAAAAGTTGCACAGTATTTTGCATATAAGAGAAGTTTCCGGTGTACACCTTTATAATTGCTTTTTAGTGTCTTTTAGTATTAAGCGTGTGTTGCTTTTATAAGACCTAATTCTATTTGTTTACATATCCTGGATATTGAAGTGCATGATTTTGCTTTAAGATTGTGTTTAGTATTTTCATCACTGAAAGCCCATATGTGGCTTCAAAGTCTGTATTTAGGTCCTAAAATAAATGACCTGATTTTGGAGAACACAGTATTTCTCATCTGTCTTTGTAAGAGCTTGTAGGTACTTAATGTTTCTGAAATTAGGCCAGTTATTTAGGTGCCAAAATCTGGAACTAGAAGCCTCATTTCAGACTGCCAAGTAGAGAATTTTGGCTCGGTCTATGTTGCTGTTTTAATCAAAACCAGTTCAGTCAGTGGGCAGCTTCTGGAAAACTTTTTTTCTCCAAATCTCTCAAGGTTAGCAGTTATCCATGATGTGAGTGTAAGGCAATAGCTTTACTTCATTATTGTCATGGTAGTACAGGAAGGCGTAAAATTGTCTTTAGAACCGTTAAGTATTGAGACTGCAAGACTGAATAGAGTTTATATGTCGTGCAAACATGATTTGACTGAATGTCAGTGCTCTTCAGAAGACCTTTATGTTAACATTTTAAATGTTATCTGGAATTTTTCCTTATTATTAAAAAAATGATATTTTATTTGCTTACTTAAAAATGAAACACAAAAATCATATAAGCTTCACTTACATTTTAATTTTTATTCCAGGTTGGCATCAAGTACCAGTTTTTCTAATCAAGCAGAAAGGTATGGTAGCAAAGGATACCTTATCCAAAATGAAACAATTACATTCTCCCTGGCCCTGAAATCAACTCAATTTAACTTTTTAAAAATTAAGGCTTGTGAGTAAGAGGAAAAACCTGCCCTTTGCCACGAGTTTCAAGTATCTCGTGTGTTCTGAAGATGAACAGGAACCCATATTCATATGTATTGAACTTGAGAAAACTCAGATTCCGATGTAATTTAAAAATGCTTACTGGTTTCCACAATTTCAGTGCAGCTTTTTCTAGCTTCTCTGTTCAGTATTTGTCTTGATAAACTATCTCCATACATTCAGTCAAGTGAATTATCCTTGGCCATGGAGAACCCCTGGTAGTGATGTCTCATGATGTAAATCAGATGCTGAATAGGGTAAATTCATTTTGAGAAGTTGTAAAAATGTTAAGATGTGCAGTTTATGAGTAAATAGATAATATTTCAGCTTTTTAAATGAAACCATTTTATGAGTGATTAGGAAGTACTTAATTTCTTGAATGAATCTGCAAGAGGCAAATTAATATTATAATATGTGTGTTTACCTGTTGTTCATGTGTTTTATGGTAACGCCAAGAACCTCATCCTGTATCACTGAAATACACAACGTGAGGGCAGGATTGTACTTCAAGCTCAGACAACTCACAAATAAAACTGTGTGGAGAGTCAGGAGAAATGCAAGTGTTTATTGAGACTTAAATACTTCAGGTACAGAACTTTCTCAGCTCTGCGTAGTCAAGCTGAAGTCATGAAATCGACATGCTGAACTGTTTTTTGGGATCAGGACAGTTCTGCTTTTGACTGTCTCACTCATAACTGAACACTTCCATAATTAAAAAGAATAGGATAATCTTTATTTTCTCCACGTAGTCAGCTTTGAGAAGTGTTTTGGCTGCAATGCGAGTTCTTTCTTTCTTTTCCTTCCCTTCTTTTCAGCATGATGATCCCTGGAAATGCTGCCGGTGTGGCCAAGCAGTTCCTCCGCTGTGTGTTCCATCAGCTGGCTCCCAATGGCATCTTCCCCCAGCTTTTCCAGAGCAATATTAAAGGTAATGTACAGTACCTGAGTGCATTTCTGACCCTTTCAGGTACCTCTGTATGGGCGGTCAGTGTAAAACTGTAATTTGGGTTTCAGATGGAAGTTTTTTACGGACCTTGGCCACATCTCTCATGGACTTCAGTGAGCTGAGTTCCATTGCTGCTCTGAGCCAGCTGTTGGAGGTATGTTGGCAATCATTATGGTGCTGGTTAATGGTCCTAGTTTTATTAGCATTATCAAGCATATTGAATCATTTCTTCTCATTCATGAAGAGTTCAAACTTGCATCACCAAAAGCAATGTGAAATTTTGTTTTGTCCTCCCTGGAAGCAAGAATAGGCCATCCTCACCATTTTTCTTATGGGTGCTCTCACTGGTATTTTTTTTTTTTTAAATTTTCTTTTAATCTTTTTTTTTTCCCCAGACCAGTTCCTGGGGTTATCCTACATATTGGTAGTGTGGGCCATGCCCCCCCTCTCCCCAGCACTATTTCTGGTTTTCAGGAACAATTCTGCTCATACACCTCAGTTCTCTCCATGTATCTGCTGGCAGTTTCTTTAAGTAGTACAAAGATTTAATGCCTGCCTTTCACTACCTGCTCTCTGTGAACTTGGGTTGTTTCTACTGTAACTTTATCCTTCCACTGGCACTAGTCCCTTGCACAAATCCTGCTCTTCCATGAACATGGTGGTTGCTTCATACAAAGATTTTGACATCGCTTTAAAACTGCTCATGTCTTTCCAGGCCTGACCCTAGTACACAGGCCAAAAAAGCATACGCGGTCTTACTGAACATTAATGAATATATCTTATTTAGAACTGTCCAGTGGGCGATCCACTGGTGAATACTTTGAGTTGTGCTTTTTTACTGCCATGCCAGCCTAAGCAGGCTATAAGCTAGGACCCTGCTTATAACATTTTGACTCAAAATCTTTCGGTCAATACATTAGGAACTGAGCTAGACTTAACTGTTCAAATACACAAATTTCTGCATGACAATTTATCATTAGAATTATAGAAGGGGAAAGTAATATTTGGTCTGAATAAATTAACCTCAGCATTTCCAAATACTGTTGAAGGGACCATTTCTTCATGTGTACATTTGTTTACAGTTCTCATTTTGTTTCCTAGGGTTTAAACAACAAGAAGAATTTACCAGCAGGGGGGGCAATGCTACGCTGCTTGGACAATATTGCTGCCTTTATGGAAGCCTTGCCCATGGATTCGCCCAGCAACCTCTGGACCACAATTAGTAATCAGTTTCAGACCTTCCTTACTAAACTCCCTTGTGTTTTACCGCTTAAGGTATGATGCATGGACACCTGTAAGGAGCTATGCTGCTGTTGGTCAGGATGTACAGAAACAGTGGGAAAGCTGTGAATGAGAAATCAGAGTGGATTGTTATGCATATTTTCTAATGGTTCAGCTAATTTTGGCAGAGGACTGGATTTACTGTATGTCTGATCCACCACTTTAATTATATTTTCCGTGGGTAACAGTAACAACTCTGGCCAGATTACTCTTCACCTCGTTGTTTGCTTTTTTTCTCTACACTTTCCATGCCTTGTCTTTGTCAGATTAGAATACTGCGTTTGAGAGAATCAGTGTTTTGGCAATAAAAATCCATCTGGTTTTAACTGTTAAAACAAAGTAAAACTCTCAAGAAGAGCAGCACCACCTAATTAATTTGCTAAAAGTACACAATAGTCAGACAGGCCGAGAGAAGTGAGACTACTGGGAATTGAGCCTAGTCTGTTTGGCTAACCAAGTTGTAGTTCCAGCTGAAATCAGAATATAGTTACAGAAACTGAACTGAGAAGCTCTGGGCTCTGTTTGCAGAGCGCTTGGAGAACATGCAGAGCGTTCTTACCTCCTGGTGTGTACATTTCCAGATGTCTTTTCAGTAAACACAGTAAAAACTTTTCTGAGTCTTTCCAGTAAGCACAAGATTCTGATGCCCTTATTCTGACTTTGTTTCTTATGGCATGAATGGGTCCAGTGGTTATTTCTTCTGTGCAAAACCCTGTTCCTCAATATGAGCTGAGGGATCCAAAATCTTTGGGACTTAAAACATTCTCTTAAATTGGGTGTCACCACCAAATTACATGAATCATATTAAATTCCTTGGCGCTATTATGCAATAGATGAATCTTGAAACCTCTTTAGGTCTTGGTAAATTGAGGCCCTATCCTGCAGCACTTACTAAGCCAAACAGGCAATAACCATTTCCTTTGCATACTAACCACCCCAATCTGTTGCATCTTGTCTAATTGAAATACAAAGAAATAAACTGGATCTTAATAGTTCCAACTGCATATCTACCATTCACGGAGCATTTGGATGGAGTGTTTACTCTGATATCCCTTTTATTTGCGGGAGGTATCATTACTTACTCCTGAACTTTCCATCTTCTATTCCTTCCTCTAGGGTCATAAATGACTCTTTGCTCTTCTCGATGTTTGCAGCAGGGATGAGGCAAGACAATGGATAGACCCTGAAAAGTCCTATTCAGTGCTGCAACCCGGGTGATTTACGCACAGAAGAAAAATCAATTACACCATAAGGAACAAGTTTAGAGGGGCCTCTGGAGCAGCTGTAGCCAGGGTGCATTCTGATGTTAGGGGGTGTGAGTTGCAGCCCTGTCCTGGGGTCTGAGGGAAAACGTCATAGCCCAGGGCAACCACAGCAATGTGACATGAGATAGATGGTGCATACCTCCTGCCAGCCCACTCCTTCTTTCCTTTTTTTTCCCCAATCCATTTTTATTACAGTGGAAATATATTTCTAGGAAATTTTTGTCATAAAAGGGGTAAAGTTAACTTTTCTAAACTAGCTCTTTAGTGACATTTTCTCATCTCAAGGCCCATGCTCTGGTATGCTACCACTGAAGGGATATGATTGTGTATTCAGGAATAACCCAGTTTAGGCAAAGTATGTTGAGATCAATCATGAGGGACCATTTTTCAGACTTCACCTATAACTTACTCATACCAGCGGTCACTAAAAGCAAGACATGCACAGAAAGGTACTAACTCTGGGTTGTTTTCTTTTTTTTTTCTTTCCTGCCTTCAAATATGTTCACAGTGTTCTTTAGATTCTAGTTTAAGAATCATGATTTGCTTGTTGAAGATACCCACCACTAGTGCCACCAGGGTAAGTTCCAAGAAGACAAAACTCTGTTGCCTCAGATTTAGTCAGCCTGTGCTATTCTGTGTGTTCTTATCCCCTAGCTAGGGAAGTATTATATACAGGCATAAAATTGTGCAGTCTGATACTCTTTGGAGAACGAGAAGAGCTTTGGAATCTAGGTTACAGTAAAGTGTGGGTGGGATTACATCGCTATGTGGGTGTGAATGTATATCTTCTTAAAGATTTGATGTTCTCTTTTTAAAAAAAAAAATAAATAAGGAACTTCCTTAGAAGTTCTGCAGTACAATTCCACCGAGATCAGTGAGGTTTTCCTGCATAAATAGTACAGAATCTCTTATGTCTCATAAGCACTGTGTCAGAGGTGAAATTATTTTCTAATTCTTTGCTTCTAATTTCTTGTTCAAGAATGAAGGCAAATGGTAGATAAAACAGCCATTTCACCGAAACAGCGTAAACGGCAGCAAGATAGCCTCTGAGCGAAAAGAAATGCTGTTCCATTTGGGTGTTTCAGACTTGAAAGGCTTTTTGTTTTGCTGAGCAACCAGTTACTGATTTCTCTACATCATGTCATTGCAGAGTCTTCTGGAGCCTTTTTCAAAATTGCTAAGCTTTGTAATTCAGAATGCTGTCTTCACTCTGGCCTACCTAGTGGAACTGTGTGGTTTGTGCTACCGAGCCTTCACAAAGGTAAGAGTGAGACTGTATCTTCCTTTAGAGGCAGCTGGAAATAGGACAGACAAAGTCCTACTTCCCTCAGGTACCATGTTTGTAAGTCAAGATGAAATCCATGTCAAGTTTCAGACATGGTTACAGTTTTAATGTAGTTTGGCTAATCAAGTAGCTATTGATGGGAAGTTGATCAACAACATTCTCTGCAAAAAACCCCAATCAAACCTTTTACTAAGGCCCTACATGCTCCTTATGTAAATTTTTAAGGTACAAGGCAAAAATGTTGCTTCAGCAACTATGGGCACATTTTTCCTTCCTTGACACATTAGTCCAAACAGTAATTAATCCTCAGGAAATGTTCTCTCGTAGGCAGCTACATGATTTTCTATATTGATAATGTAAAAGTGCAACATGCATTGCTTCAGTCTGGATAGGACTTAGAATATCACTGGACAAACGGTGAAGAAGAAATGACAAAAGCAATGATGCTCTCATAGAAAATCTGCACCACAAGAAAATAAGAAAAACCTTTCCCAGTTGTAATGGTTTGAAGCATTAAATAGAAACTAACAGTATGCTTAATTACAGCAAGCAAATACTACCTTTTTTGTCTCATTTGAAAGAGAAGATTTTATGAAAGAAAAAAGTCCTGACTACAGAAGAGACCATCCAGCTTTGGAAGTAATTTCAGTTAGATCTATAGCTAGGGCTTTGGGCAAGGCAAAGTGAGAAAAATGTTAACTTAAAGTCCAACAGTGGGTTTTTTTTTCATTGAAACAAATAAAACCCCATTTAAAACTGAAGCAATGACATTCCTCTTGCATTTGTGGTTTCCTAAGACTATTTCATGTCTGCTAAAGCAGATAATGAAATACAAGAAATGTTTTACTCCCCTTATGCTCTGCAGTTTCAGCTATTTCAAGAAAATTTTATTAAAACCATGGTATTAACCCCCCCACCCCATGCTTTTCTTGCATGCTTCCTGGTTCAGTATTCTGTTAATATATTGAGTACTTAATTGCACACAGGAAGCTTGGATTATAGCACGTGGTAGAATCTCGTTCTTGATTTAGTTTAATGCAACCTGGTGACCCAGAAATGGAATCATTAGTGAATGGTCTCCTGCAATTTATAGCCACAAAATGCTTAATTTAGTGGAACTCCACACTACATTATCTTTGTTATTTCTGAAAGCTTACCATGGTTTTGCATTAGAAATACCGAATTAATGATTGCTGTTAGAAAAATCCAAATCACATGTGCTGTCTGTGTTTTTCTGCAGTGGAAATCACTGTAGCCAAGTAAGTGTTGTTTGTGATAGCATACCACATAAAAGTGAATTCCAGAAGGAATATTATTTGTGAACATTGCAACTATTCAGATTCAATTACTTGTTTTGCAACTTTGAACGTGCTGGCTGGAACCAACCACCAACTTTCAGCTAAGCTATGGAGGATTCTTGTCTTTTCAAAGACCAACCCACTCTGACATGCACTTTGTGGAGGTCAGTGCTGTACAACCACTCCAAATCTTTTTTTATCTCCAATATTTTCTTAATACCTTGTGGCAGGAATACCTCGGTTTCTCCTGTCTTGGAGCCTGAAGACTCATGTCAATCTGATATTCCCTTGTCTGAGTTTCTGTTCCAGCTCAGCAATTTGATTTTTTTTCAGTGCCTTTGGAACTCCTAGTTGAGAGTAGCATCTCTTCTGTGGATTGTAACTTTCGTATCTTTAGTTTTCCTTTCAAGTATCTTAAGGTCCTAAATGGACACATTCTGGCATTCTTATCTCTCACAGCTGAAGAAGCTTGAACTAAACTTAGCCTTTTGCTAGCATTCTGTTGACCCTTATTAAGTAGAGCAGAATGCCACTGAATTGGACATGATGCAATTTTGCTATTGCACTTTTTAAAAGATTCTTAAGTGGCTGATCTTAAGTGTTTGAAATTACTGTAGTAGCAGCAGAGATAAAATAAGAATTTTGCCTTATACTGGCTTACTTGGGAACATAGCATACCATGTCATTAAGGAATCGAATTTACTGTTCTTATTGCTAAGTTTGGCCCCTGAGATACTGCTAGAAACAAACTTAAGTAGTTTCTGCACATAGACCTCTGGCAAGTCACAGTTTGAAGGTTGCAAGGCATTTTTTTTTATAGGGATGTTCAGACATTCTAAAGGGTTAATTTGGCTGAACAGATGCTAAAGGTGTTGTATTCTTCACTCTTTTGATACCAGGTTTACATATGTGACTCCCCTGGGAGTTATTCTCATGGAACTAATACCCATTTACAGCTCAGTTGCAGAATATAAAGTTTTTAAAGTATATATAAACCATGTTTATACATATTTATCACCAGCAGAATGATAGGAATAAATAGACTTTGATAGGAAGTGTACTCTGGGCTACTGACTTCGGTGTTATCACTCCTGATTTACAGTGCGGGAAGTATGAGGTCAGATGTCAAAAAACATTTTGCTTGATATTGCTTCATCTCTGCACTGCATGTGCTTAACAAACATTTAGGAGACTTCTGTAAGAAAGAGGTAGCTCACTGCTGTATTATCCTTAGAGCCAAGGAAGGCTGGGATTCCTGAACCCTGTGCTTCCTTCCCGGTGTTCTGACAAAGCAGTTCTGACAAAAGCCCAGTTATGTCCTGTGTAGCATAGGTGTTAGTCTGTAAAACAGCTGAATGCTTCTGAAACAATTTTACCTCTCTTCTTTTCCAGTATGTTCAGGCTGCTGTACTGGGTTACTGATAGGAACTTCTGTCCAATGTTTTGGGGCATGTCAACTGAGATATGCTCTCTTTATGACGCAGTATTATCTCAGCTCTAATGGTCACTTGAAAGAGAGCTCAGTGTAAGTCTTCCTGCTACTGTGGTCAGTAGCAGGTTACAGATTTGTTCCACATTTTTATCTTCTAGTCTGAGGTCAGAGAATGTCAAAGTAAGATGCAGAACAGGCTCATCTTATCTCTTGTACCTCTTTCCATCTCAGCTCTACAACTCTATTCTTAGGTTTCTGTGTTCTAATCTCCATTGGCTGATTTTCTCCTTTGTTTTAAAATGTTTCTGTTGTGGCAGCCATAACCAAGATGGGTTTTATTGTGTAATTGGAAAAGTACTGCTAGTGTAATGAATGAAAATAGCTGTTCAAGCTGCCTTAGGGCAGGCACCCTTATTTTAAGGGGAATGACAACAGAAAAGAAGTATGGTAAAGTGTAGACCATTTCTGGCAGGTTTAATGAAAGAATAATGCTAAATGCTATTGCCAGTTTTGTTTTCCTGTGTCAATCCTTACTCCTTGCCCCTTTTCGGTTTATATGGAACTACTTCATGAAAGCTACACTGTGTGCCTGGGCTTTATAACTTCTTAATACAATCTATCTGTATTTCACGTGCAGAATATTAAAATCAGGGATGTAGTGCCTGATAGAATGTCAAATGAGAATCACCCTCATTGACGTCTGTTCAATCAAGTCTATGGAATTACAGAAATGATGAATGATGTCTACTTTTTTTTTAAGACAGGAGAAACCAGTACACTTTCGTAACTTCGTTATTCTCAAACTTAGATATAAAGTATCTTTATGGTTTACTAGTGGCTTTCAGTGAATTTCAGGATATTCATAATTCTGTGTTTTTCTGTTGCAGGAAAGGGACAAATTCTACTTGACACGCAGCGTCATATTGGAGTTACTGCAGGCACTCAAATTAAAGTCACCCTTACCGGACATGAATCTGCTGCTGTTGGTACAGGTACAGAAAATCCTCATGTAATTCTCATACTGATCCTGTTGTAGCCTAAATTCATGGGCAGGGCTGCGGGGTAGGGGGGAAGCAAGTCCAACATGGGTGCAGGAAGTATGAGCAATGTCAGGGGAAGCAACAATTTTTTGAATCAAAATCCAGTGACATTTGTAGCCACAGATGCATACATTTCGATTCCCACAGCAAATTGAGAATCCACATTTCCCAGTGTGATAATGACCTGTGCATCACTGCTGATGTACTGAGGATCACAGAAATATATTTCTAGTTGGAAAGGACCCTTAAGGATTTGAGCTTCATACTGTGTCCCAGCTGCTGCCTTGTCTTCATATCATAGCCCCAAAGCCAGGGAGCAATTGGTGTGGGAAGGAGTGCTAGCTGATCATGGGCCAGAACTCAGTTTCTGTCTATTCAGACAGGCAGCAGGCTGTCTCCAGTCCCTGACGGCCATTCTCTTTAAACATGGAATTTTCCAGCAAAAAATACAGACAATATTTCTACTCCTTTCATTCTGTGGATTGCTGAGGTAGGAGTTAAAGTAGCTTTTTTTATGTAAAAATCTGAGGAAGTAACATAAAGATGTATGAATCTGTCTCCAAAATACCAAGTGTGGCACTGTTTGGCACCACAAGCCTGTCCTTGCAGAACCAATTGACTGCAGTCCATCAGTTCCAACCCCTACCACTCTGTGAATCTGTGAATTCTAATCACAGGTAGTGGGCTGTCATTGTTTACAATGAGCTAACCATTGTATATGTTTAGTAACTTTAGAGGATAAAGGACCAGCACAACATACGACTCAAGCAAGATCTTTGTTATGTAGACCATTCATAATGCTCCAAGCATCACAGACTCCATTCACTCTT